CGCTGTACAGATTTTGCTTATTTTTTCCCCAGCGACTTTAGCCGGGGAGAAGATTTGCTGCAAATTCTGTCGTTTCCTTTCTTGATTGTTTTGTTATTGTAACTTTGTTGATTGTGATGTGTATAATAGAGATATTAAATTGATTATATTTTTTATTTTAATGTTGTCTTTTTGTTATTAATTACCGTTGGCACCAAAACTCCCCGAATAAAGAAACCAAACGGGAAATAAATAAATGTAATGTGTAAATAAATTTTGTAGAGATGTTTCTTTAGTAGATACTACGAAAGAAAGCCACGGTATGTTGAGCAGACCTAGATATTTTTACAATAATCTAAGAAGCTAGCGGAAAGATGCGGAAACGACAGGCAGGCAATATTTTGACCAACATTTCTGTCGTTCTGACAGATTCAGCAGATCACTTTTCAACAAAAACCTCTCAAGCAAACCAACTCTGAAGACGCAAGCCACTCATACTTGCAAAACGTCAGGAAAAAATTCTATTGTAAGACGGCGTAAAAACTCACAAGTTTCAAGGAATGGCCATGAAGACTTATCCCTGTTAATAAAGTTTAAAAGCTTGCTCTTGAAACCTACATTGCAAAATGTTGTCTTTCATTAAAGATGAATGAAAAGATATGAAATCAATTAATAAATTGACGCTGTTAAATTAAGCAAAACACTAACAAAACATGTTCATGCACAGATAAGAGCACCAAGTTGTGTGAGCATAGGAAGCTATGGTTTAAAGCAACCAGAAGAAACAGTTCTAAAATCGATATCGGACTTTCGGTAATCGTCAGCAACTTAAGCGTTTACCTTAATGATTTAAGACCCTAGAAATGTTATACTTCACTGTTAATCTGTAATTTTACAAACTTTTTCTTTGGGTATCGCTTAATGAAGTTATGGATAACATACCTGTGTGTGGAAAATCTGCTTGGCCTCTTGACATTTCAAAATTGTTGCAGACTCACCTGAAGAAGAAATATTTATTACTTTCTTTATTCATTAAAAAAAATATTTTGCTTTCAATCCATGCTTATTAACAAAAATCAGAAATGGTCAAACATCAAGCGACAACAAGCCAAAAAATCAAATATATAAATGAGACTTGATTTCAAATATATGAAGTTTAAACTAATGATACTAAAAATAAAACACATGAACCTAAACCTACATATAATTTGAGACACCCTGTATCAATTACAACTATCGTAAAATAAACTAGACGTTAAAATCTACAACTTCTGTACTAAACATTTTTCTCTAATTTTCAAATTAGTTGTTAAAACGGGGTGGCCAAAGTTTAATCAATAACACTGTACAATTGATTCTGTTACCGTCATTTGAGGACGTGAATATCGTGCTTGCATGAATTGCAAAAACCTATCGTTTACTCTTATCTTAAAAACGTTTTTTTTTATTTCATCTTCACTAACATTCTTCACATATGCAAGAAGAACTAATTCCAATTCATATTTAAGAAGAAAATATAATTGTTCCGTGCAGAAGATAGTCCACAAAACAATGTTAGAAAATTTGTAATTTGAAATTTTATGTTCTTAAATTGTTTGACTGAAGACTCTCTTCAACTCTGACTCACATTCTAAAAATTTCCACTGAAAGCATGCCGATTATACAAAAACCCCAGCTCTTCTTCAGCCAAAGCTCTAGTGGCCTGATAAAATTTAATAATGTTCTAAATCTTGGTACGTCCAGGCTGCAAAGATTGCAATTTGAGCACTAATTCTATATTCGTACAGAGCAAGCTATAACGAATCGTGTACTTATATTAGTTGACTCAAATAAGTAAAAAGGTTAAAGGTTTCTTCAAACTGTATTTATTTCAGACTCAACAACAAAGACAACAAACAAAAAACAGTCTTCAAGTCATAATCTTCTATCCAGGCTTTAATGTTTTTTATGGTGTTCGTGACCCCAGTGTTTGCCTCCATCATGTCCTCCCTTCTCGCCATGGTCACCGTGGTGATGATGATGATGTTCATGACCTCCATGATGTCCGTGATGATGGTGATGGTGGCCGTGATGTCCTTTTCCATGATGTCCCTTCTTACCGTGATGGTGCTCATGGTGTCCATGGTGGTGGTGACCGCCCTTCTTGTGGTGTCCGTGATCATGGTGATGATGTCCATGGTGGTGACCATGCTTGCCGTGATGTCCGTCATGATGATGATCATCGTAGAATTTGTGATGCTTGTGATGTTCGTCCTTATGTTTGTGAATGTGGTGTCCATGGGTGTGCTGTCCCTTCTTGTGGTGATGCTTGTGGCCATGATGGCCTCCTTTGTGGTGATGTCCATGATCATGATGATGATGGTGGTGGCCGCCTTCACCGTGATGATGATGATGGTGTCCGCCTTTGTGTTCATGATGTCCAGCATGATGATGCTTTCCGTGTTTGCCATGGTGATGATGGTGATGATGATGGTGACCATCATGTCCTTTATGGCCCTTATGGCCATGCTCGTGATGGTGATCGCCATGATGGTGTTTTCCACCACCATCTTCATGGGAACTACTGGAACTATGTCCCTTGTGATGGGAAGCTGCAGTTTCCAAGTCCGCAACTGCAACCTTAGCATCAGCGGCTGTTGCAGCAGCTGCAGCATCAGGAATTGCAGCTACTGCTGCTTTAGCATCATCAGATGCAGCCGCTACCAGATCAGCTTGTAATCCAGTTCCATCTTCCTGCTGGAATGTTTTGGCACACACAAGCACAGACACGAATAACACTCCCAAGCAAAGGGCAAACGACCTCATTTTGCTTGGTGATCACAAACACAGAAAGATTGCAAAGGTCTGAAGTAATTCTGTACGATACTACTTCTTAAGAAGACATTACTGTTGTGTGCTTTCAAATTGACTTTATCAGCTATTTATATTAAACTTGTTTCTTAAGAAGCCGATATCTGTTAAGAAATTTTGATCTGCAATAGGTTTTCATCACAAGATTCAACCGCTGATTTCCAAAGCAGTATGTATTAAAAGCGTGAACGAAAAAGACAAATTTGATTTCTTTGGTCCGATGCAGGTATGTGAGGTAATGTCCGTTACCCACCAGACTTAATTACCTAACATGTAGCATTTTAAAATTTCCAGTATGAGGTTTGCTTGCTTAATATTTAATGAGTAAGTGAGGAAAAGGAATTTTATTCTAAGAAAAACAACAACTCCCAAATGCATATAAAACAGAGATGTAGGAAAACTTGACAGTTACTTCACAGCAACTAGGACATTAATAGGTGATCATTATTTATTAGTATTAATTGTTATTTTCGACTTTGTTGGGATTGATTTTAAAAGTTATACCTGAAAATATTGTTTTTCCCACATAATATTAGGTTAAAGTGAATTGTTTAAGGAACACAACAAGTCTGGATGTGATAAGTAAATAGAAGCAACGAAATAAATTACGTAACTGACAATGCATTGATTAACATCTCGTTCCGCTTTGAGCGACTGATTGCTTTGTTTTGTGGAGTTTGTAAGAGCAAACCCGATTTAGATTTTCACATTTATTTAATAACGCCAAAAATTTCAACAAAAATAACACAACAACCAATAAACCAAGCAAAAGCAGTCTTCGGGCAACATTCTACCACAAATTTACTTGTGTTTTGATTCGTGGCTATGCCCCCAATGTTTCCCTTCTTCGTGGCCTCCTTTCTCCCCATGGTCGCCATGATGATGGTGATGATGATGGTGCCCTTCGTGTTTGTCATGGCCGTGATGATGATGATCATGGTGTCCCTTATCTCCATGTCCGTCCTTTCCATGACCGTGGCCATGGTGGCCGCTGTGGTGATGGCCTCCTTTCTTGTGGTGTTCTCCATGATGACCATGATGTCCATGATGATCTCCATGTTTGCCATGATGGCCTCCATGATGATGATCATCATAGAACTTATGATGTTTATGGTGCTCGTCTTTATGTTTTTTAATATGATGGCCTTTTGTATGCTGGCCCTTCTTGTGGTGGTGTTTATGTCCGTGATGGCCTTTCTTGTGTTCGTGTTTGTCCTCATGATGGTGCCCGTGATGGCCACCCTCGTCATGATGATGATGTTCATGACCGCCTTTATGCTCGTGATGTCCAGCGTGATGGTGCTTGCCATGCTTGCCGTGGTGCTCGTGATGATGATGGTGATCGCCATCATGCTCTTTTTCGCCTTTTTCGCCATGCTCATGGTGATGATGATGGTCATGCTTATGACCACCGCCTTCTTCATGCTCTTCACTGCTGCCCTTTTTTTCTGAAGCAGCTGTTTCCAAGTCAGATGCCGCAACTGCTAAATCGGAAGTAGCGACTTGCAAACTCGGTTCATCTTCGGCATTTAAGGATTTAGCGCACACGAGTCCGAAAAGAAACACGACGCCTAAGCAGAGAAAAACAGCCCTCATTTTGAACGGTTTGACCAACACCAACACAGAAAAAGCGAATAAGCAGCTAATATTAATGCAAAACTAGTTCTTAAGACGACATGGCTGTTGTGTTGCATTTACTTGTCTCACCTGGCTATTTATATGAAATTTATTTCTAAACAGGCGATTACCTACACAACTAAATTCGAGCTGCAGTTGTTTTTAATCATGGGATTCTTCAACCGTTCAAATTTGCCTTGCCTGCCTTGCCAACCTGGTTGATTTAGTTTACCTAATCGAGCGTCAAAAATGTCGAAAATAGAACAAATCCAATTGCAATTTCATGTAGGACACCTAGCAACTCGATTCGATTCGTTTCATAACATAATCGATTAATTGATTTTTGGATCTTAATTATGAGATGAATCGAACTTGCGGCAACAGGTTTTCAACTAAGTGAAATTAAATGTGATGTTCGAAAAAACAATTGTCAATGCGAAGGCTGATCGAACTGTTCCACTGTGTGCGCTCGAGTGAATTTTAGCATGAATGTGCTAAAATAATTGAAAACTGCTACAACTATTTCAAGTCAATTTGGGATGTTCAAACTAATATTTAATATCTGTTACTACTGATTTTATTTCAACATTTCTTTATAACGGTCAAACTCAATAACAAAAACAACAATCAAACTAATAAAACACGTAACAACAGTCTTGGAATGACAATCCACTATCCAACACTTATTTGTGTTTGTGGTGGTGTTCGTGTCCCCAGTGTTTGCCTTCATGGTGGCCTCCTTTGTCTCCATGGTCGTGGTGTCCGTGATGATGGTGTTTGTGTCCCTTGTGATGGTCGTGATGACCATGATGGTGATGATGATGTCCATGGTCTCCATGTCCGTGCTTCCCGTGATGATGGTGATGGTGTCCGCTGTGATGATGGCCTCCCTTCTTGTGATGCCCGTGGTGAGATCCGTGATGTCCGTGGTGATGACCGTGCTTGCCGTGATGTCCGTGATGGTGATGATCGTCATAGAATTTGTGATGTTTGTGGTGTTCATCCTTATGCTTCTTAATGTGGTGTCCATGGGTGTCATGACCCTTCTTGTGGTGATGTTTGTGGCCGTGATGACCTCCCTTATGGTGGTGGCCATGGGCGTGATGGTGGTGGTGATGACCGCCATCCTCATGGTGACCATGGTGATGTCCTCCCTTATGGTGATGATGTCCGGCTTCGTGATGATGTCCATGCTTGCCGTGATGGCCGTGATGGTGGTGGTGATGCCCATGATGGCCCTTTTTGTCTCCACCGCCGTGGTGATGATGATGGTGTCCATGGTGTTCATGGCCGCCACCATCTTCATGCTCTTCATGAGAGTCGTGGCCCTTCTTATGGTGGGAAGCGGCAGTTTCCAAGTCAGCAACAGCGGCGACTTGAACATCAGATGATGCAGCTACTTTAGCATCAGTAGATGGGACTTCCAATGCGGTTCCTTCATCGCCTTTCACCGACTTGGAGCACACATATGCCGAAACGAATAAGACACCCAAGCAAAGGGTAATAGCCCTCATTTTGGATGTATAGAACGGAAACGCAACAAGAAAACCAAAAAACAATCAATTGAAGAACTGATTGTTCCTAGGAGGACATCACCGTTTGTATGCTGTTGACTTGCCTGACCACCCTATTTATATCAGAGTCGTTTCTTAAGATCCAAGAATTTGCACAATACATTTTAAGCTGCAATCATTTTCCTCATAGAATCTTCGACCGCTGATTTCTACAGTTTTGAAAATTATTGCATTTGGTTTACTTTATTAATCTACCGTCAACAATTTCAAAAATGGATTAGTCTAAGACGAGTTTTTTGCTCTTCTGGTCCGTCGCCGTTAGCGACGCGATTCGGGCGTTGCAAAAGGTACCCGATATGAGTCAATTGCATTATTTGGATGGAAATTATTCAACGATGCCCGATATTCAACTCGAAATTGTATGCATAATAATTATTCAAAAGCAAAATTCAGTGTTAAGGTTGACCGAAATGCTTCGCCAGATGACCGCAAAATTAGCTACAAATAATTATATTTCGCTGTTGCATATTGGTTTACAATTAATAATCGAATGATTTCAATTTAGTGCTAATGTTAATTTGCAAATATTGCACGTAATTAGGTTTTGAGCCCATAATTATGTGCACGTGTGCATCTTGAAAGAGTTGTGCATCCATAAAATGATGAAATTATTTGAATTTTGCTCAATATTTCCATAGAATAAAAATGTTTGTTCCAAGTACCTGAAAGTGGCAAAGAGTGACTATCAATATAAAGCAAACATTTGCAGGGAATTTACAATATGATGTTCAAGATAAATGACCGTTAAATAATGTAATGTGTAACGTTTCGGTTTACTTATTTCACCTGCAACAGTTATTTAATAATTATAACATTTTCATCGCAGCACGAATTCATAAAAACTGTAATTGTTTGCTTCAAGCCAACAAATACTTGTAGTCTAGGCAAAGCAATACTATCAAGCTGCAAAAATTTCAAAAGAAATAAACAATATCGTATTCAAGGGATTCCAAATTGGTGTCCTATTTTCATTCAAATTCCTAGTACATCGAGAACGATATCGTGTGACAAGCATAACACAAACGTCGCATTTGTGGTTCAAGTGGGTCTTTCAACTGTGCTCTTCAAAACTTAAAATGTGTAATCATGTAAAAAGTCAAGGGATTTTTCGCCTGCTAGACTGTAACCTGTTTCAGCTATTGATTTTCGCTTAAAGAAACAAGTACTTACATATTGTTAATGGAAAAAACATCCTTTATTGCGATCAAAAAATGTGTTGCCTAAGTTCAGTTTTTCAAAACTGTAGTTACTTGCTGATATCTCTGTTCAAGCCAGAAGTTTTTCAATAATTCTACTAGTTTTTTTCGACATCAGACACCCAATATAATGAGGAGATTTCACAATTTTGTTCGAGATTAGAGTTATTGTTCCGAACGTGGTAAAGCAGCTTAGACAGCACAGCATGAAACATAACTAACTGAGTAATAAATATAAGGTGCTCCACATGTAACTTGTGAAAGAAGCGACATTAAACGACTTAATTTTTTTTTTTTTTTGATGGATTATTTTCGAAGCAGAAGAAGAAAAAGTGCAGTGTATTTGAAACGTTAAGTCAAATCTTTCTGCACCACGAGAAATATATTTGAAACCGAAACAGATTAAGTAAAGCTTTGAGAAAAATCGATCAACACGCATTACGTTCGTTCATTCCAGTTTCAAAAATTAATTTTAAAAATGTTTTTATAGCGCTAATGGTTTCAGATAATTTCGTTTTTTTATATGTTAATTCTGCATATTATTATGAGATCTGCAAATGTTGTTGTGAGCTGTAAATTGTATTGTATCTTAATTTCATTATAGGCTCAAAACAGGTCTTATTATTTAGATAAGGTTTATTCCTTTTTATGAATAGACTTGAAATTGTGTGATAAGCAAACGTACTTATGACAGAATAGCACAATTAGAGGAAGACTGAGTTAACAATCAATCTCACTCAGAGTATGGAACAAATAATACCAAGATTTAATTTAAATTCCGCACCTAAATTGGAAATTAAATTAATAAAAAGCATTTAAAAGGCAAAACAGGTATATGATATACCCTTATATGGATTAGTAGCTAAAGCCAAACAAAATCGAAAGCAATCGAAAAAATATGAAGAAACCGTTGATAAATTTTGCATTAAAATTACTCAGTAAACAAGAACAAATTTAAACTTGCTCAAATGTAATAATGCGAGCAGTTGTAAAGCCAACTATTTTTAAAATCAACTATTAAAATAGTAATTAAAATTCGAATATATTACATGATAACTGCAAACGGATCAATCGCAAAGAGTTTACAGTGGTACCAATGAGCATAATAAGTAAAATTAATAATAATAATAAACAACCATGAAGAAATAATTTAACTAATAACCAATGTCGAAGTAATTGAGAATAAAAACCGGCGAAAAATGCGTAACAGAGTTTCCTAGTGTAAAATTTTGCGCATACAAACCTCCCAAATATCTCAACTTTTATTAACGCATCGCCGTACTGATGAGAAAACTATGTTAGTTTTATCTTGTCCAAAAACCTCAAAGTTCTCACAATAAAGTACTACATATGTAAATTTGTGTGTTAGAAATTCGTGATATTTATAAATTATCCTAGGAAATATTACGGAGATACTTTAATTATTATTTCATTTTGTAATTCTTTATCTAATTGAAGTGTTAGAGATCGACTCGTCTGGTATTTTGCGATCTATTCTTCCATGTTCAATATAAATTCCTCGCAAGTTCCGCATCATAATAAATATTAATAATATTTATTATGATAGCATAATTCGTTGATGTGATCAAGAATTAATGAAAGATGATCAGACATAAATATAGCAACAAATAAAACATCACTTTTTTATGAATAATTCGGTTAAATTTATGTAGGTAATCAATTAGCTTTTCGTTGCATTATCCCGAATGAAAATAATATTTCTGTCAAAAACTAGGCCAAAATTTACAGAGTGATCAAAACGGATATAATATTTTAATCCATAGGCTCATGAAGGTTTTAAATAAAATGCACTTATTTTCCTTATATTCCTTAATATTGATGTCGACTGCTTCAGTTCTTACTTTAAAAGTAACTGAAACTTTAAAGAAACTATCTATATGGCGTCTAACTAAACCTAAAAAATAGGCCTGGGTAATTATTTAAAATTATATTACTTTAAAGGTCATTTATTAATAATATTTTAAAAATGTATAAACATTTCAGAATTTTTCAGTTTTAGCCAAGTTACTCTTTCCTCTAAATGCTGAATTTTCTGAAGATTCACTCAAAAATGGTGACAATCTTAAAGTATTCCGCGAAAAATTAGGAAATAAATTTCGAGTCCGTCGCATTGTAAAAAGTTTTGAAATCCTGTTCCAGCTTCGAATTTGGATTAAAAATCAAACAATTTTCTATCAAAAAACGAACAGAATAAGGGAAAGTTTATAACAGATTATTTGGGAATCAATCTCGTCACCTCCATTCCTCTGGAGACTGTAGAACTGTTTCTTCTCAAGAACGCTCTATTTTGTAGAGTTTTTAATCCAAACCGCAATAAAGCAATATTTCCCGATGATTTGCTTCTTTTTTGACAACAATGGGGTGTTTTCAGTCAAGTATGACAAAATTAATTTTGCTAGAAATTTCGACCCATTCATCGGTTGGCAGGGAACTATAGAAAACCATTTTTAGCTTCGAATTTGGAACACAAAAACCAAATAATTTTATTCAGTTTTTCACCTAAAGTGATTAGAACTATTTTAAAAAACAACGAGAAAAAAAAACGTTTACACTAAATTATTGGAAAAAATCCTAAAAGTTCACTCAAATTTTCAGGTGTTTCCAGTTTTAACAAAATTTCTATTAAACAATTCCTTCTACGCAAAAGACGCATAATATTTTAGTTTTACTTAAAATACTTGCAATCTTCAGGTATTTTCTGTGAAAAATTATAAGATACATTTTATTGGAACACTCGCCTCCTCGGCCGCTTTGCAAAAATGTTTGGAAAACTTTTTGCAGCTTTCAATTATGGCCAAAAGCCTAATAATTATTTCTAGGTCTTTTTCTAAAAATATTTCACCGAACTGAAAAAGCAAAAGTTTATAATCATTTATTTGGAAAAATCTTGGAAACTGGAGTTACTTCACTTTTAGGTCAATATTTCTAAACAACACTGTATCTAAACAGAAAAACCGCGTTTTTTCTAACGTGTTACTGTAAAATACGGACAAACTGAATCTTTCATGCAAAAAAATGAAGAGATTTTACAGGAAAACTCGTGGACTTTCTTTGGACTCAGTTCTGTTGCTTGGAAAATCTAGATTACTTTTTTTCCGCTGTTTGAACAAAGTAGTAAAACGTTACTCAGAAAAATGTTTTTTTAGATGTGAAAATTCCAGTCTCGAGGCTCGTAAAGCTTTAACAAATTAATTTTAACTCATTAACCGATGAGTTATAACTCGTTAACTCAGAGGCGGCAACAACTCAATAGCGCAACTCAACACAATGTTACCCAGGCCTAGTAAAAAATACAAAAGGAAGTCAAATTAAACCTAAAGGTGGAAACTGGGCTGGTGTTTATCATGAGCTGGTCAATAGTTGAACCTCGCAAAAACTTTAATCTATCAATGAAAATAACGTACTTTAATTATAATAGTTGGGACATTATAAATTAAATAAAATAAGTGGAAAGTTAAACATTTCTGCATCGGGATAAATAAATTTGAAACCTAAAAAAAATTAGTAGAGTTTTAAAAAATCCAATAAAGAGCAACTCGATTGAGAATTAAATTGTTGAAGCCTTCCAATGTATTATCAGGCCACAAATTGTGCATTCCAAGAATGATTTTCTATATAATTTAATATGCACCATTACAAACTGCAAAAATCACTTCGTATGCCTACATAAAATTGGACTAATTAAATAAAACAAAACAAATACGATTTATTTTCAGTATATTATATTACAAAAGTGAAAATCAACGAAAAATGTAATAAAATACAAAAATACGGCAAATGCTGTGTCACCTGAGTTCAATGTTTTATTGTTTCTTGTGATGAGAAGATCCCCAATGTTTTCCTTCAGAATGTTCACCTTTATCGTCGTGTTCGCCGTGATGATGATGGTGTCCTGCGTGTCCATGGTGTGATTTGTGTCCCTTATGGTGTTCGTCATGGTGTCCATGGTCGTGATGACCCTTCTTTCCATGGTGTTCCTCATGGTGGCCGCTCTTGTGAGAACCTCCTTTCTTGTGATGACCACCTTTGCTGCCATGGTGAGCGTGGTGAGAGCCATGCTTCTTGTGATGCCCGGCTTTGTGGGCCTCATCGTAGAATTTGTGGTGTTTGTGGAACTCGTCCCGGTGCTTCTTGAGATGGTGGCCATGGGTTTTCTGTCCTTTCTTGTGGCCTTTTTTTTCACCGAATTTTCCTCCTTCGTGGTGATGGTCGTGATCATGATGTGATTTGTGATGGCCGCCTTCGTCGTGGTGTTTGTGATGGTGCCCACCATCCACTTCATGGTGCCCTTCGTGGTGATGATGTCCGTGCTTCGAGTGGTGGTCTTTGTGATGATGATGATGGCCGTCATACCCTTTCTCGTCCTTATGTCCATGGTCGTGATGATGATCGGCGTGATGCTCTTTGCCACCACCATCTTCATGCGAACTCGAATGACCATGTCCGTGTTTGGACTCTGCCGCTACAAGATCAGAACCATCTTCGCCTTTAAGCGATCTAGCACTCGCGTAAGCTATGACAAGAAGTACCCCGAGTGATAAGGTGAGCACCTTCATGCTGACTGACTAATTTAGAAATACCACCGATAAGTCTGTTGTTTACAGAGCCAGGAAACCTATTTATATTACGAGTCGTTCTTAGGAAACCATTATTTGCATCACCGGTCTTGCGGTGCAATCATTTTTTGGTGCAGGTTAATTGTTACGTTTTATGCAACACTTTATATTTATCTAGTTTAGCAGTTTTGTCATGCTGAAATCTGGTCGGTCTTGGTGTACTAACGACCATTCATATTTCGATTTTACAGTGTCTGACTGGAGTAGGTCAAGTTGCTTTTTTTCTTATTTGTACCAAATTTTTGACTAGTTTAATGTCCCAACTTTGCACACCATCAAGGTGAGTCTATTTCAACTACTTCCAGACCACCCTTGGGCAAAATCGATTGGTAATTGTTGCAGCTTCCAGCTAAATCAATCCAGAGAGGAATTACATTGTCAAACAAACAGACAGCGTTACGTTAATACAGCTTTCTAGGCCTAGTCAACACAATACTTAAATAAACAATAGCTGGATGCTTGCTCTTGTTATTTCGTTACAAATTTGAGTAATTAATTATGAAGTGAAGCGCCATATCGGGCGTGCAGCCCATTGTCAATACGGATATTAGGTTAGCCGAGATTGAAGGGCTTTGTTTACCGGGGTTATGAGAATTTTAACGCTGCACATGATGTATGAGCTATTTTTTAATTTCATTTTTTCCAAAGTGAGTCTTTAAATTGGCCGGAAACTTGACCATCAAACCACAATGCTTAATTTCACAAGGGCACTAATGCTTTTGACTGGATAATCACCAATAGGACACTTCCACCTTTTTGTAATTTTCGTTTCTTCTATAGGACACATCTATCAAAAGCATTGTAAAATGGTTGTTATAAAAATTACAGACACGGAAATTTAAAAAAAAATCATAAAAGTATTACTGAATAATAACTACCGACAAAAATTTTCTGAACCAATAATAAAGCGAAGAATTAACAAAATTTACAACTCAACTAAATATAACAATAATGAGGAAAAAAGAAACAATACATATACAGGGTGGTCCTCAACTAATGTCCAAAAATTCACTGACATATTGTTTAGGCAAAAATATTGCGTTTCAGGCAAATTTCTCTTATCTGAAAGTTAGTAGATTCCGAGATACAGAGTGTCAGAGTAAAAATTTCGTTTTTTCTGAATAGATTTTTAATCAGTTTTACTAGAATCACAAAAATGTGTGTTTGGGGGTTTTTTAGATCGGCAATCCAAATTCCCTATTGGTTCGCTTGTAGTTTCTAGAGGCCGCTAGCTGCAATAGTCGGAAGACATTTAAGACATTAGAACTTTTTTGTTCGGCGTTTCAAAAATCGTCATACGGTTGGTAAAATCACATTTTACGATATTTTTTAAACATAACATGTGTACTTGTTAGAAGTCGATATCTCTCACCGTTTACGAAATATTTCACATTGAAACATATAGTGATTTTTTTGAACTAATTGGAAATCTAACTCAAATTGGATGTCTAAATAAAAGATTTTTTTGGCGTAACTTTTCTATTAAACAAAACTTAACAAATATTAGACAGTATTATAGGCACTACTTTAAAGTAATATAATAATAAATAATAATAAAGGGTGACAGTTATCGACTTGAATCAAGTAGACATTTTTAGTTTCGGAAATATTGGAAAACCTGATAATGCCAACAAAAAAACAATATATTAAAACTCAAAAAAGTTCTGATGTTTTAACCGGCTTCAGGCTATTGCAGCTAGCGCCCTCTAGAAATTACAAGCCAATCAATAGAGAATTTGTATTTGCAGATCAAACCCCCGAATACGAATTTTTGTGGTACTAGTAAAACTGGTATTAAAATCTATTTAGAAAAAAACGCATTTTTATTTACACTTTGTATCTCGGAATCTATTAACTTTCGGATAAGATAAATTTGCTTAAAACCCAATATTTTCGCCTAAAAAAAATTCCAGTGAATTTTTGGACATTAGTTCAGGACCCCCTTGTATATCACTACCATATATTCCAGAAATCAATAAAAAAATGTCAAAAATACTCAAACCACACAACATTATCATTGCGGAGAAAACCAAAAACAACTTATCAACTGAATGTTTCCCAAAACTAAAACCAAAAGCTGACAGAATGGATGTACCAATTACTGTATATAGAGTGAATTGTTTAGAATATGATAATACATATATAGGACAAACTAAACAATATTTAACAAAAAAGAGAATGTACGAACATAAAAACCGTCTGAGAAATACTAATGAAAATAAAACAGCATTAACACAACATGCACACCAAATGTTACATACTTCCGATTTGAACAACGCAGATATATTGGTTAGAGAAAGAAATTATCATTAACGGAGAATCCAAGCAATGATACAAATAAAAAAAATGCAAAAGCAGTAAATTTCAGATCAGATACCGACAACCTTAGCAACATTGACCAAACCCAAATAAAGCCATAAGTATAGAACACTTAGTAGACTACTGAAAAATTAAAACTATTTCCGTTTATCTAAATACATGCATACCATTCTCGCAAATGTAGAAAAGAATTCGGACAAATTTAAGCTTTCAAGAAGGCAAAGACCTAAAAGAACGTAATGTTTACCGATTATGAGGTAAGTTTTTCAAATATTTTGCTCTCCCTATGGGAAGGATTTTTTTCCGTCAAGAACTGATGAATGTTGTAACGCTTTATAAATTATAGTTTTAATACAACATGTTTTAATTGTGAATAATTAAATTAATTAATTAATAATTAGTGTTTGTAGTTTTTGTAAAATTTAAATCTGATGATGGCGCTGTTGTCTCGCCGAAACATAATGAAATAAACGATATTCAAAATTTTTACTTGACACTTTGACTGAGACCCAGGAAAGATAAGAATATAATAACAATTACACGCAGTCATGAAAATAAATCAAAACAAATAAATAAATAACAGTAAACATCAGAAGAAGCAACGTTACAGAATGGAATTTTTTGGTTTCATTGGGGAAGGTGTCGCGTATTATAAATTCGAAAGCCTAAAATTTCACAAGCTTTTCTGTACGCGTTTCTCTTGAACGGTATTGTCTAGAATCATCAGAGGAAAATACTTGTAATAATGTAAATAATGTAGCACCCTGAAGATGTAAGAGCAAAACCAGGATCAAATTTAAGGTCAGGTGACCCCCAATACCAACTTTCGTCCAAATACTGAAATTATTTCAGATTACTGAGAAAAGATAACAAATAAAATAAATTTCTTCGTCCATGCGATCTGACGAATATAAGGACTTTTAATCTTAAAATTACCTATTAATTAAGTATTAAATAAATTTCGTTTTTGAACCTCAAAAAGACAGAACTTCCATGGGTTTGGACTGGCTTCAGAAGTTCTACAACTTTTCGCATATCGTCCACTACGCATAATCTAAGTCATTTAGAAAGACAACAACACTTTCAGCAAAATGTTCCATTAAATTCATTTTTTTCCCAGCTTTGCCACAAATAGAAAAATCCCTAATAAATTACTAGGACATGCCAAAGCTAATCCAGCACTGTACTCAAAACCTACAATAATATTTCTTTTCAACGGATTTACGTTTTGGACGTTTCTCTGCATAATCCTGCCGACATAAATTAAAATATGTTTCGTAGATTTATAGTTGCGGATTTGCGTCTCTGGAGACCAGTGTTTTTCCCACAGTTTAAAAGTGCTCTTGAAAACGTATAATAACGCCCGAAAAGTGACTTTTATTTAGTTGCGTTTTATAATTTTGCAATTGAACGTTTGAATGGCAGCATGGAGGGAGTTTATTTTGCGATATTTATGCACAATATCGACAGAAACCACACATATTTTTTATCATTGTTTGATTTTATGAGATGCATCACGAAGCAGGTCCAGTCGCTTTAGAAATTCAGAACAATTCTTCAAGCTCGTGCTGAATCAATAGATGGAAAAGTTATTTATCGGTATTATTCTCCCTGGCTTGCAAAAACAACAATTCCCAATAGCAACTTCCTACTTGTCAAAAAGCATACAAATACCAAAAACAAACACTCTCAACTTGAACTCGCAATAGTTGGAAATAACTCTCTGGCTTTTCGTCAGAAATTTGAACAATTAATTATGAGCTGAAGCGTCCTCTGCCTCGTACAGCCCATTGTAAACACAATAACCTTTGTCTTCGTAATACAGTTAAACGTGTCAATGAATTACTATCGCCTCGATAGGAGCACCGATTAATTATTTCCTTAATTTAGGAAAATGATATACGAGCCGCCATTTCCGAATTAGAGGCCTGGTCAGGTAATTTCCTTTAAAACCGCAACGTTTGTTTGCAAATTTATATTGCATATATGCACTATTGGGATGCACTGAGGAGACACTTCAATGGGCCAATAGTTTGGTTTGATCATTGTGGAAACTAGAGGAGAGCAATTAAACCGATTCAAGTGGTTACTAATTATATTGAGTGAATGGCCGATTTTTAACGCTTATAATTGCCGAGCCAGTAATCCATTCCAGTAATCAACGATTTGGAAGAGAGTGTTTTTCTGCAACGCAAATTGATTTTTATGACTGTTTACATGACGGCGAATTGCTCAATTAATCGAATGGATCCAACCAATAAAAAACACAAAACCAGAAATGGTTTTTCGAAAACAACAATTCTAGATCCTTTTGAACAAGTAAATGACGAGCTATTGAGATTGATGAATATCGCTCAAAAACACCGTTACGGGAGCAAAAGCAGAACAAGAAGGTAAAAGGAAGATTGAAGATGTGGGGGAGGAAAGTGATGAAATTGACCTGGCAAGAGTATACTGGGAACGAAAGAAATCCGACAGATTCCAAAGAAATACAGGAGGAGAAAATGAAATTAAAGTTCGAGCAGACAAAGCGATGTTAATTTTTTTGAATAAAACTCTGGAACATTTATTAGAGAAGCATTCAACAGGTTAAATCACCACCATCTAGGCAGCGGTTCTTAACCTATGAGTCGCCAAGCATATTTCTTGGGTCGCGCTGAGTCGAACCAAAAAAGTTAGTAATACACCAAATAATAAGTAATACCAACACCTTCCAGAAGAGTTATTTATTATTCCCTAATACGAGTTATTCCCTAATTATTAGTATACACACACACACACACAATATATATGTGTGAAGCTGGTTTTTAGGCTCTGTGTGGAATTTAAAACAATTACCGGAACAAGTTAAATCCTGAAATAGATATAAGGTGCTCCTTGACAAGCATTCAACCGAGGTTTGAAGATCTTTCAAAATGTATTCAAGCACAAGGTTCTCATTAAAACTGTATGACTTGCATTTAAAATTTAAAGGACTTAACATATGTATTGATATTTCTTTTTTTTAGGAATATGTTAAAATGTCAATTGTTTTCAAAAAG